CAATGGATGAGTTTCTTGGGTTGATTTGAAAGTATACGGTGAGCTTTCTTGATTTATTTTCAAATGTACAATGGACAGTTGTGATGGAGGTGGAGGGTGTCGGCACTGGTAGTTGGTGGTAGTTAGGGCTGTCAATAGATTGGATTTTGATCTGAATCCTTCAAAATTAATGGGAGATGGATTTAGAGTCTCAATCCGATAACCCGATCAAGATCCGAATTCGATAATCTGTCAACTAAATGGATTAAATATGAATATAAGTCAATCCGATCCAATAACAATCCGATCTTATTTGTTATAAATAATTGAGTCGGTAAAATATTTTTATGACATATTGTTTATTACTAAAATAAATAAATTTAGAATAAAAAAAAATCAAATTCAAAATATAAAAAAGTTGAAAATTTTATAATTATTAAACCTATTTAAGAATTGGAAAATTTGAAGAAAAAAAGTTGATTTCAAACAATAATTTAAAAATCGACCTGGGCATCGACCCGGAAAAGGAATAGGGTTAAGGATCAAAAAGTCGAATCGGGATTGAATCGGTATTGAACCGATTGTCAAATTGAATAAATAACTATACACATAAATGTAAAATATTATAACAAAAATAGATTTTTTTTTAAAATTTTAGTTTACTAATTTAAAGTAAATAAATATCTATATTTTTCTTAATTAAATTTATTATTGTAATTTATTTTACAACTTCAAAAACTAATAATTAATATGTAACAAATAATTTGATTTGTTAATAGAAATAATGAAATAAAGTATTTATATTTAGAATTGAAATTCAATTTTACCTTATCCCACATCGAATGTCAATAAAAACTAGAAGATGATCTCTCCTTTAAAAAGGAACATCATGATGGTAGAAGTCACTATTAAGCTTGCTAGTAAAAACAAGTGGGCCTCAAGTTAGTTCAAAATTTTTTAAAGAACATTGATTTTTTTTCCTATTTTTTATTAATTTTGGATTGGATTATCGGATTAGATATCTGATAACATAGCAAATTGGATATAGATTTAATAATCAAATATCCGTTGGATTATCGGATCGGATCGGATCAGATCGAATATAGGTAGATTCAATCCATATTCGATCCATTTACAGCCCTAGTGGTAGTGAAGGGAGTTGTGATGGCGGTGGAGGGTTGAAGGTGACAGTGGTGACTCTTTCTAGTACGGCTTGCCGGAGAAGCAGGAAAGAGAAGATTTTGAACCGGGAAGATGATGTGTGTTTTTTTCTTTTTCTTTTTTTTTTTCCTTCTAATTTTGTTTGGTTTATTTTAACTATTTTGCCCCTAACAAATTTGGTCAAAATCAATTTTTTTGGTCAGTTAGCAGTCAAATGGATGATTTCCATCTATTTAAATCCCAACTGCATATTTTTAAAAAGTTTGAGATTGTGGCGGCTGCACAAATTGAAGGTTAATGTAAAATCTGTAAAAAATTAAAATATTAAGGACCGTTGCTGCAATTTTCTCTTATTAAAATCACATGTGTGCGCATACATGTGGGGTGGGGGAGGGAGTGAGAATTTTCTTTATATTCTAAGAGAAGGATGCATCAAGACACTAACAAAATCTCTCATCATATCTTCAATTTTGTCAATTTCTACCGCCCATAAATTTTGTCAAATTGGCAAGTATGTCATGCAATTTTTTTTAAATAAATAATGAAATAAAGAATTTGTAAAGTCTAATTAAAAGTAAAGAAAGAAGAATATTTGGTTATGTACTAAAAGGATTAAAGAAGGGCCAATTTAGAAAAAAAGTGTGAACCGTTAGTGTTCTTCATTAATCTTCAACTTGCAATGCACTTGACATGAAGCTAAACATCTCTTCAAAATTCACTTTAGTACGTTTTGAATAAATGTTCATGTCATTATCAACGGCTTGAACACGACTTAAAAAAAAAAAAAAAACTAGACGAAAAGTGCTAGTTGTCTTGTTTGATCTTGTGTAAACTTTTTTTCGTAGTCCAAAGTCTCATTCTCACTTTTCTTTTCGATCATAATCATATTTTCTAACATAACTTATACAACTTGGCTTCACAAAACCATATGTTAGTGTTCAAAATGATGTGAATGGACAAATCTATCTAATAAAACATGAAATACAAAAGTCATGTGGATTCTAATCCAATTGTTGTTAGTTAGGGACCAATGGAAGTCCTATTCAAAGGGGCATTTGCTAATAGTCCCACTTTTTATTAAGACTAGACTTAGCAACATGGAATGGACCATAACTCTTAAGCAAACAATGTACACTTAAACACTACGAAAATAGAGCATGGTTAATAGTAGGGTTGTGTGTTTAGCAGCCCCACATGATTGGTGCAGTTCAGTTCACTAGCTTCTACGTTAGCCATGTGCATTTTGATACTGTCTTTGTCTTGAGGGGTGGTAGGCCATATATTGGCCCCTTGTGAGCTAACAAAGGGAGTTATTTTGGGGCCCAAAAACGATTTTCATGTTATCACAAGGTGTGTACATGTGTTGTTTTGGTGTAACTTTGAAAGTTCAACCCGACCCTAGAATACTTTTTCCTTATTTAAGTTTGCAGGTTGTCAATTCTTGTTGTGATACTCACTCATAAATGAATGTCGGGAGACGATCATTATGAGGTTTGAAGTAGACGTGGATAATGTTTTTTTTTTTTTTTTGGAGCTATTTAAATTGTTATAAGAAAGGGCTGAGAAACAAAGTAAATGGGAAATTAAACTCAAGACTCGAAAGAGGAAAATAATTAAATCTTAGGACTATGGGTGGCTTGTGATTAATATAAGTTTGTCACATTATCTCTTTTGATGATAATTGTCTTATTATCTCAATAAAGGGAGGGTCTATATTGAAGTAAGAATATGACCCAATTGTTAGTAAGAGTTTCGTTAGACTTAGTGTATGACCTGAATTCTATTTGAAAGACTATTTGGAATTTTAATTGAAGTTGACTTGAGAATTTTAGTTGAAATCTTTTTGTGAATTCTTGTTAGAATTCAATTTGGAAGTTATGTTGGTATTTTTCAATTTGTGTTGAATTTGAAGGACATTTGAAGAGGCCAATTTGCAATACAAGAGGAATAAATTGTGCAAGGAGAAAGGAAGCAAAGCTTCAGGGCTCGATTACCGTGATCATCTCAAGGCCGCCGCTTGAGCTACGGTCTTATCCGAGTTTTACACTGTTCGCGATTTTGACAGTTTTTTGAATCCTATTTTATCTCAAACACACCATTATTATTTAGCCCCTGTTTGGCTCCCGTTTTTGCTCATTAAATTTTATTTTCACACTTTTCCACAAACGAATCAGTCAACCCCTTGTTAAATCAATTGTATAATGTGTCAGGCCTTACAATGGCAATACAACCGTTTGGTAAGTGAAGGACAAAAATACCCTCTCTCACTTTCATATTTTCACAATATTGTCAACTTTGTCAAAAAGGTTGGGGGTAGTATTGGAATTAGTGGCCTAGATGGTAGGGATTAAAAAATTGAGAATTCAGTAGCCACCTGCAGAAATGTACACATCTTCAAGTTCATATGTCAGTGGGTCCCGCAGCCTACTATTTTTGACCAACGAAAATGAAATTTAATGCGCAAAAACGGGGGCCAAACAGGGGCTTAAACTTATTCTAGTTGATCTCCACCACTTATTAACTCTTCATTGTCTTATATTCTCCTTGTTTTAGAGATTCTTAGTATTATATATGCGTGTGTGTGTGTACAACACATATTTTGATTATCCAACTATCAAACATGTTAGTTGAAATCAGATATATTAAAATCCATATTTTTAATATAGTCTTTGCCCTTAGTTTTTCCCGTCTTCGATTTTCACGTAAAATCTTTGTATTATTGTGATCATTACTTTTTCGTAGTCTTATTATTTCTCCTTTTTAATTCCTAATAAGTGGTATGTCTACTATGTATTAAGAATTGTTGCGGCTCAATTTCTAACAAGTTCTATGGCTTAAGTGTCGTTCATCCGTAGCAAAGGTTTGAAGGCTCATAGCTTGGTCAGAGACGTGTAGCTCAATCATCTACTGAATTGGTTGAGTTCTCAACTCGGACGGTTAACATGGGTCTAAGGATGACCCAAAGCATAAACACCGATGCTTTCCTGATTTAGGCACCTTGCTCCATTGTTCCTGGAAAATCAGAACACCTAACATCTACAAGGAAAGGAAGCTCATCAAACCACTAATCATAAACAAATTTGGAGTCAGAATATCAAAGGCAATCAAAGAACGGTCGAGTCACAGATGATTGATAAAATCTACTTATATCTCCAACTATACTTTCTGTATAAGCTTTCAGAAACACGGATACCCAACACGTCATCTTATCATCATAGATGAAAAGCCCACCTGCAATTAAGGACATTCCGAGCATTTTCTTTAAAAATCTAGGGCGTGTTCATCTTGTACAATGTTCTCATTGCATCTACTCAAATGTAAAAGTATCAAACTATGACCCAAATCCAGGAATACAGTTAGAAAAAGGCTATTCTAGGAGAGGTACACTTGAAACTTTATTTCTGAACTTCTATCAGTACAAGTACACATTTCATGAGCACAAATCGAGGGAGTGAATAAAAATGAAATTACAACATAAAAGTCATGGTTAATCGTCTCATTACACTCTCTGACATTATAAAGTAGCAGACTGTCTGTGATCAATAAATGAGTTCATCCAATGGAAAACAAACCATTGAAGAGAAGTTCTACACAAGAAGTGAACCTGTCAACACAACTACAACCACCGTCCATCACGAGACACATGACCACATCAGAAGATCTGATTTCTGAACTAAACAAAAAATTTCAAAAAGAAAAAGGGGGAAAAAAAAAAGAGACCACCACCAACACATAACAATGAATAACAAGTAATCAAGACTAATGACATTCTACGACCCCAGTTAAATGAATATTGGATATTCTGGTATGAAGAATTAAAAAATTGGGTTGGAAAAATGCACATATCATAAGAACCTAAATCAGAATGTACTACTACTTTCACTGGCTGAAATAGAAGGGCATTCAGACTTTACAAAATGAGAGCCCCCACTACTGATATCAAGACCCTGAAAACGACCAAGAGGATCCTGTTGCAGTGAGTCCGAGATACCCTGTCCATGAGCTGACACAAATATGGGGTGCTGTTGAGTTGACATTCCAACCTGATGGTAATGTAACTGTGGCATTTGTATATTCTGGGAATCGTTTGGCGCTGCCTGATGCTGCTGTGAGAAAAAAGTGGACTGGTTGAATGGAATATGCTGCATTGCCAAATTGAATATCTCTGAAGGGGCCGATATTTCTCCAGTGGCAATTCTTAGTCTTTCAACTTCCTGCTTCAATGCTTCATTTAGAGCTGCATATTGTGAACAAACACCATAGAGAAGAAAAATGGATCATCATTTTCGCCACTGCAAAAATACAAAAGTGAGGAAAAGAAAAGATGCACAGCAGGGATGTCTCCGCAAACATTTAAGTGTTGCGCAATTGCTTCAGGCTCTGGTTTATTGCTTCACTGCTTTGGAGAAAGTTTTGTGCAGGGTTACATCATAGTAACTTCTAAAAGAATATTTAGATAGTAATGTTTCACAACACAAAATGTTGAAATTATCCTTGATATGCCTCCAAAATTTTTTGGGTAGATGAATCAGAATCATTTATTCTAGATACATGGATACAAAAAATGGAGAAAAAATAGGTTTTGCTTACCATCACGTAACTGAGCTTGCTGTTCCATGGCTTGTAACTGAAGCTTAAGCTCTGTGTTGTCATTACTAAGCCCTGCTGTATCTCGCTAAAGAAGGAAAAAAAACAGCTGATTAAATTTTAAAAGCAACAAATGATATACTGAATGAAATAAATCTAATAGGACAGTAAATTTCAAAATATTATGGTGCGGTCTGCACGGAGATGCCTTCTATAAAAATAAAAGAAATATTTGGAAAGAATCATGGTATGGAAATTCAAAATATCAGCTCCATCCCTTATTTCAATTAAAGTTCCCTAGTTAACCATATGTGATTGCTGCAATGTTCAAAGAAGCATATATTTTAAAATATAATATCAAAATTATGAAAAAACAGATTCCTCCAAAACAAGTTCTAAACAGACGATACATCTATGAGCAGAGCGAGCAGGTGAAGAAGATGTTATGAAATGGTACGCAAGAGGCAATGTAACTTTGGTACTGAACATTGGTAGGAACTGTAAATTCTTTTGCAAACAAGAAGATCAAGAGACCATAACCTGCTAATTTACTACCTTGTATTGAAAGATAGGAGATGGTTCCAAAAATAAGAGTTTAGCTTGTTTTGAAATTGGAGTAGTTTTTTGCTATATGAGCGTGAAAGTTCATCGACGCAAAGATGCCTTCTTGAGCTATTTGATTGAAATTCAAAGCTTACCATTGCAACTCCCATTCGTGAATCTGCTTATCAATGCCATTAGAAGTGGTCGAATGATGACAAAGGAGATAGAGGACATGCAGTTTTCTTTTTTCTTTTACATAAATCTCTTCAAATCTTTTTTCAACTTTTTTCATCCTATGAGCCTTGAAGTTTTCCATATGAAACTTTTTTCTTGCTCTAAAATCACTTTGTGTACCAAAAACTGTCTTATAGCGCATCCCTATGAGTCCTTGTATGGCTGGCAATGAGGCTGGGCAAGGGCGGGGACAATCTCCCATCCCATTTATATATATTTAAGTTTTTCCCTGTAAATGCTAAGGTAATTTGGGAATTAGACTAATGTGCTCTGGTAATCGGTTGGGCTTTGGACATAAAAAAAAAAAAAATTGGGCTAAAGTGAATTTAAGCAAAATATGATTTTTAATAACTAACAATTGGGGCTTGGCAGAGCAAGGCGAAGATTTCCCATCCCCTTATAGGGCAAGCAAACCCGATCCTGAAGCCACTCCGCTGCCCAGTTGGGGCAGTGCAATGCAGGGCTCAGGTTTGGCAGTTCAAATTACCATCCCTATGTCCTTGGCATGTCTATCATGACCTTAATGCGTCTCAGCGTCAAAAGTGAGTGACACTTCATCGAAACTGTTGTAGTCAAAATACTGTATCTGAGTGCTCTGGATTTAAAAAAAATCTATGCCGACAATTTCCCTCACGTCCAAACATATCTTGAACAAGTATGTGACTAGAAAACTTGCTTTCAGTATGAACACACTGACCTGAGGTAGTGCCCATGCCTCACAGTCAGACTTGCATCTGGAGAAGTCTTTGTATGCTAGAGGACTAAGAAATGTAGTAGCAACAGAAAGGGAAGCATAATTTGGAAGACAGGCCCTTGATATTTGTGTTGTTGCACTTGGAAGTAAGATAATTTCCAAGCTCAAAAGGACTTGGAAACAAATTTATCAAGTATATTTTGGTACTTTATGAGCCTCTGCCGATTTGGAAAATCACTCTCATTTTTCTTATGATAGGTCGTTAGTTAGATTTATATTGCTCAGACCATTATCAATTTGATGGTCAATATTATATTATTGTGTTCGTTTTATAAATACACAGTGAGAATCTAAGATTTGTGACCCCCTTGGTATTTTAACCACTACAAACCAACATTGAAAAGCTTCCTGAATACAAATGTAAAAACAAAATGTTTCGATTAGCAATAATGTTAATTATATGCTTTCAGGATCCATTCCATTCCAAATAACTTGAGCACATGTTCAAAGCTAAAGCACACAACTAAAAGGCAGGTTCTCGCAGAATTACCTGGTACAATGTTACTTGTGCAGAAAGAGTTGTTGCTTCTGTTTGAAGGGTCTGAACTTTTCTCTCAAGCTCGGAGATATAACGGGCTTTTCTCTCTTTTGATCGAGCAGCAGATTGTCGATTTGCCAGTATCCTGTATATTAACTTCTAGAACATTAGTTGATTGGAGAAATACAAATTCCAATTCTACCAATCTACGAGACATATCTAACAGTCCACCTGATAAAATATTAGAAGAGATATTATATAATTTAGTTTCCAATTTTGATACGTTTTAGGAAATATAATTAAGGTTTAACTTAATAAGGTTTATTAAATATTTTCTACTTAGAATATGATCCTCAAACCCTATATAAAGGGGTCTTATGCTTGTAATAAACAACAACTTTGAAAATGAAATAAAGATATTTTCTCTCTCTTGAATTCTACTTCCGTCTGTTTAATTCTTCCCCCCTGTCTATCTCCCCCTCTTCTTCTCTTTTCTCCCTCCTTTCTCTTCTTCTTCCCCCATTCCCATTCCCCTTCTCCTATAATTGTTCTATTGCATCCTATTTCACCACCACTACAAAAAACTGAAAATTCTTCTCAATCATAATTTAATGAAGGAAAATCCACATTTAAAATTGTAGAAAGTCTAATTGATCCAATAGCTATACACTTCTCAAACATTATGAGAAGTGCTTGGCCAGAGAAGGTGTTTGAAATCAGTTGAGATGTATTGGAATTCAGAAAGAAAAGAGGAAATATAACATGCAGAGACTGGCTTACTCCTGTGAACTTGTCTAGAAAAATATATTTTTGTTTGGAAAACCACTGTTGGTTAAAACATATTCCTCAAACACTTAATCATACCCCAAATAATTGATTGTTCCTCATCATTAATCATATTCTAACAAGTCAGTTGTGCCGGTTTTGATAACGAGATTAGTCAAGACATACATTTGCTTGCATTAATTTTGTAGATAAACTTCCAGCAAGTATTGACAGACATCTGGGCAATTGGCCTCAAACGGGATCCTCTGCTCTTATCTACGCACAATTTGAATTTTCAAAGTTCGATAATCAGCCTGACAACAAACTTAAAATGCTTGAGTAATTCAGTGACACAACCTCTGCATTGAAACATGTGAATTCATACTCTAACCTAGGCAGGACTTGCCAGTTGATCATGCCAACAATATACTTCCTTTTGATAATTGCAAACAGTGATCAGAATTACTACTACAACCATAAATGCATTGATGTAGGTGCTCTAAGAATTTAGAATTCTAATGAATCAGGGAAATAACTGCTCAACAAGTCCATCTCCTTGTGCTAACACAAAAGCAAAACCATCTTGGGGAATGCATAGTTCCTTCATTGACTATGTATCGTAGCTAAACTCAAGCGAGTTTACAATGAGATGTCAGTCATCAAAGTTCCAAGGGCTCTTCCAATCAACACATTTTCTATGATTAAGGAAGAATAAATTCATCTCCATTTCATTTCATTATACACAAAATCGTTTCTGTAAAAATTTTAAATCAAGACATTCCAAATCGACATCTTACTTGCCAGTCAGAACCTCGAATCCGATTGGTTAATATAGGTATATGGAACAAAATTTGAATCACAAAATCATTTCATGATTGATTCTTTACCCATCAGTAATAATAAATGCAACATTTTCGAGATCAACTAAGCTCAAATTAAGATCTCTTCTGTGCCACAACTCGTCCTATAAACTAAAGGGGAAATTCAATACATAATGTCAAAATTAAGTGCAAATCAATCAAAGTAGAATAACAAATAAAAATAAAAAGATCCAGATCAAGATCCTTTCTGAACCTACAACTAAAACTTTCCAAATTCAATTGAATAAACAACACATGCATAAATTTAGGAATTCAAAAATATTTATGAACATACAAAAATTAAAGAAGGATTACCTTTTGGCGCGTTTAGGGTCAACGCTCCACAACTCAGCAAGCTTATCAGGAGCCATGGCCTTCTTGGCTTCAATACCACTTTCAGAAAACACAAGATTCGAACTATCGACCGAGTTACTATGCCTATGCCTCGGCCTAGCAACACCACCGCCACTCTTCTCCTCACTGCCGCCCTCTCCACCTCCAGAACCACCACTTCCACCACCCACATTGTCGAAAACAGAGTCATTAATCTCAGATCCGCCTCCAGCACCGAGCTTCTCCATATCCATGTAAGTAGAAAACAGATCATCCTCCGATCCCATCTCCTCCACACTTCCCGCTGGCGCGTCGGACGGGCCCGATCCCAGATGTAGATCCTCCGGCAGACGGAAATTCACCTCGGAAAGCACTTTCCGGTGATGGGCCGGCCTCATTGCCCCCGGAAAGACGGCATCTGATTCAACGCATACTTAAGAGTTCGGATCTTGCATTTTTCTAAACAAAAACCAACCAATCCCAGTAATTTCCTAGCAGTATGAACAGTGAAGACAAGTGGACCTTAACTGTTTTTCGAATTCTACATTCTTAAAACAAGTTGACGAGATATATATGTTGTTATGATTTTTTGAGGGAGTCCACGAGGGTCTAATGAATTCTTGGGGTGCGGCAATTTTGGGCTCGAATAGCCGTGAATGATAACACTGCAGTACTTCCATGTTACTTATTTCACGGATTCCATTGCTAAGCCAAGTCGCAATGCTTTCAATTTTTATGGCAAAATTGTAATGTTGCTATCCAACTTGTTGGCTACATAATGACTTGTTATCTAACTCTTAATTCTCGGGATATTTTTATCTGTGAACTATTTTTGTGATTGAAGAAGCGGGTCTCTTAGAATCAGGACGGATTTAGGACCGGATTATATGTCGAACTAATAAGTAAAAAAAAAAATTACATATGATTTTTTTTTTTTAGATAAATTTTTTTTTCTAACTAAAAAAAATTAGTTTGGGGGGTGGGGGAGGGGGTGTAGCCCGGCTTAGCCTCCCCCTCCATCCGTCCCCGCTTGGAATACGTGGACAAAAAATGAGTAATAAATGTAAAAATATAGCGTGTGTCTGGGAGTTATTTTGAAGCAAATTTTTAGCTTAAATAAAGACGTTATACAATGTATTGTTGAAGAGGGAAGCCGTTATTTTTCATTAAATTAAGTGAAATTACCTATGTGACATCCACATAAAATTCATTCTCCTTTTGAACATTGCAATTTCGATAATTTGCAATTGTCAATAATTACTGCAAAAGTGGAAGCATAAAGTGTGTATAGTCAGCTTAAGTTATAATTTAAACTTTGTCAAGCACGCATGAATTATATAGAGATCTTTAAAAATTATGAAATTAAATGCAAAAGTTTTTGCAATATTTGTTTAATTTCAAAGGATACAATTCAATGGAAAATTGTAATTTTGTCATCGAACTTGTAGGTAATAACTTGATATCTGTTACGACTCGTCTCTAGGGACTGCCACATGGTCATCAAGATTAATATGTGGGAGACCAACCACCATAACTTAGGCCCTGCTTTTGTATAGGCCGAGGCCCTGCGTCAGCAGAGGCACAATTACTTCTAAATGTCCTCTTAAATCCGAGGTTCTGCTATCAGCAGAGGCCTAAGCGTAGGCTCCCAGCTCGCGACGGCCCACGTGCAAAGATTTGATTATGATGAAGATCCCCATACGAATGATTGATGTGACCTTTGTAAAAAGTGTGTCTGTGTCTTGTCTTGTCAATGTAAGAGCATTTAATACTTTGTAAAGCTAGTTAGTCAACATAATGGTTAGGATCTGATGCTTTAATCAAGGAGATGAGGTCACGTGTAAGTTGATTGAAGGGTCACTATTTTATTTGTAACATTATAAATACACCCACCACATAACAATGAAAAGCTAATGAAATTCTAAGTACTGAAAAACAACATATTTCTTACTCCGATTAAGTTTACTACCACTACAAGCATTGTTTTCATAGATTGATCATCGTATAGTCTTGTTCGGTAAACCCCGCTAGAGTCCTAACGGAAACGTCTCGTGCCGTTGAACTTCTCCTACGTCCAATCTTTGAAGTGATCTCGACCGTGGATCTGTCTTAGCGTGCTGGATATGGCTTACGTATGCATGAGTGGGCCCGGCATCTGTTGAGTTCATTTTCTGAGGTCAACAACTTGGCGCTGTCTGTGGGAAATCACACTATAACTAGGAGCAATCCCGTGGAAAAAACTTTTTGAAAAGATAGTTTGGGGCGTTCCCCTTGAAAAATGATTTGTTCCTGAGAAGGAATAAGAGGAAGTCCCCTAAGTTGGAAAATATCTTAGTTTCAGATTTGAAAGAGATGAGTTCAGAGGAAGATGCCCCCTCTAGATGTGTGAGAGAGAGTGGCAACGATGAAGTCCCAGGCATAGCCACCCCCACAGGCTAACATCGCCCCCACCATCACCATAGGCGAGGCGGGAGGAGAATGGCGGCCATGCTCACTAGGGAGATGGCAACCATGACAGCCAATATGAGAAACATTACCCATCAAAACTTGGCCATGCAGAAGTTATTAATGCAAATGCAAGGCCACGGAGGTCATCCAATCCTAAAGAGACCTCCTTCCAGAAAAAGTAGGCTCCAACTAATTGGCTCCACCCATTTGACAATATTTGGATGGGCGACAACATAAAGTTTCGTGATTTTCTTTTTAACTTTTTGCATCCCCTGGCAATGAACCTTTGACTCTATTTATAAGAGAAATTAGTAACCAATTTTGGTAATCACTCAATTAATTCAATTA